CAGTTTCCCCTTATAATACTCGTCTAAATTATGTTATTCCACTTCCAATTCCCTCTTGTACATTAACTAAAAAATCATTTATTTACACTGGTAAGAAAGTGTTTAATCACCTACCACTCGATATAAGATCCTCAAGCAATATTTTTGTATTCCGAGGAGCAATCAAGAAGTTTTTATTATCTAAATGTTACTATAGTATAGAGGAATTTTTTGAGGACAGTTGCGCTAATTGATGTATATATTGTTTATGGAAATTTTATAATTAGTATTTTAATATATCTTGTACCTTGTTTGTCCTATACCATGTTGTGTTTTATAAATGTAATCTCATTTTAAAAACAATAAATTTCTCCCTCTCTCTCTCTCTCTCTCTCTCTCTCTCTCTAATAAGGTGAGTCAAGTTTAGGTACAACCATTGTCGTTAGTATGTTCCATAGTTTGCCCCATCTAACATTATTAAAGTCCTTTAAAAATTCACAAAACATATAAATATCGGGATCTGATTTTCTTTGTCTTTCTCTATGATGTTATTTACATTAAGAATTTGTTCTGTAGTACCTCTACTCTTCATAAATCCAGCCTACTCTTTGCCAAATGAAGTTTTCTAGACGACGTTGCAGGATGTAGAGGATAATCTTACTGGCGTATGATATTAGATCTAGTAGTCTATAGTTGTTACAATTATTTATTGGACCTTTCTTATGTAGAGGTATGATTATGGTCTTTCTTCAATCCTCAGGCCAGATGCATGTGTGCCAGATTTCATTACACAATTGATGGAATATTCTCACTTCACATACCGGAAGATGCCTCAAGCGGTAATAAAATCATAGCGTGGTGCTTTGTTTTCTCTGTTGAGAGCAAATTCCACCTCGGAAAAATATGTCAGGTTCAAATTTAAAAACAATGTGATGTATCCCTGTTGAAGGAAAGTGGAAAGAGAAGCGTTGATGTCAACGTTTAGTGAAGATGATGTCGTAAGAACACCATGTAATAGAGTAAAATTAGAGTAGAGTAAGGTAAAATATAGAGAAAGTCTGAAAAACCTGAAATCGGGTCACCTGTTTTATTGAGGCGGCAGTGAAACTGAAACAACGGGAGGCATTGGTTTCTTCGTACGCAAAAAAAAATAAAAACAGCATTATATCAGTAAAAAGTTTTACTACTAAAGTAGCTTGTTTAACGTTAAAGCTAAGTGAAAGATATGATTTAAAAATCATACAAGTATATGCCCCCAAGAAGTGATCATGCGGACTTCAAAATAAATAGAAGAATTATACGATGACATTACTTTGGCCCTAAACGATACAAAAGTACATGTTACCATCATATGTGGTGACTTCAAACGCTAAAATGGGTAAAAAACTGTAAAAACAAATGATGTATGCTCGATATGTTACTGACATAGTGGTATTTTCTTTTTATTAACTTCCCCTTCTAACATCGGTAACCAGATCCTACTGCGTTTTGCCGAGGAATTTGCTACACAATTGGTCTCATTTAGCAAACTTAAAGCAGCTTCTTTGATTTTTCCCTTTTTACCATCTGTTTCTTTTACAAATTATCTATTTTTTATATAAGATTGATGTTCACTTATTCTAATATTTAATGGTCTTGAGGTTTCACCTAAATAAAAATGGTAGCATTCACAAGATTTTTATAAATACTTTGATAATTTGTTAAATAATCTTTAAAATTGAATATAGTTCTATATACTCTGTTTCCAAAAGCTTGATTGGATCCGTTGTATCCTTTGTTTAATTTTGTATAAGGTCCGTTTGGTATTAGATTTTTAATTTTGTTTTCATATTGAATTTTATTCATTATTACAGTTGCTTATGGCTCCGAAACCTAGGTCAATGGACTGGCTTATCAGCAGATGAATTATTACATGCCGCGCAAGATCGAGAACGACATCGGCAAATCGTCATGGAAGCTACCCACGCCCAAAATTTGGGCACGATACTCAAAGAAGAAGAAGATTACAGTTGCATTCCCTTGTCTGCTGGTAGGATAATTATCGAGTTGTCATTTTTTAAAGTTCTTACAGCCTTTAGTTCTCTTTTGCTTCTGTTTTATTTAATTTTATTAGATTTTTCCAGTTCAATTTTACATAATACTCCGAATTCTTCTTTTTTGTGGGTTGGTAAACATTGAGATATTTTCTTCCATGATAATATTATGTCTAATTTTGGAATAATTAGATGAGTAACAGCAAAGTTTAGACCTTTTGACAGTATTAAATTCTCCGTTGCATTTAAACGTCTATTTGATAGATTGACAACTATCGCTAATATGTCATTATTTCTAATGGAGTTATCTAAAGTGTGTTTGGTTCTAAAATAATATTAAATTTATTTAATTGTATATTTCTTTGTTTCTCATATTTTCAGCAGCACAGCACAACAGCAATTTTCATATGCTAAGTATAATGTAAACTAAAAATAATTTGATCAAAATCAAAATATAGTTAATAAAAATAAATACTTAAGTCATAAAATCCAAATGGCTAGGGACGCATCTAACTGCAAAGCAGAAAGCCCATCAGTTTAGCATGGGCCGTATATAGAGCTCTATCAAACATTTTCATGAGCAGCATGCCAAATTATTTGAAAAAGAAGACGTTAGACCAATGTGTGCTTTGAGTCTTGCGGCGGCGAAACACTTTTCTTAACCCAGGCTTCTTCTTCTTAGGGTACCTGTCCGTTCCGAACGTTGGTGATCATTGATGACTTCGTTGGTTGCTATACGGAATAGCTATGTTGAGGTCTTTTTATATTATGGTATTAGGTTATTCTTCTTTGTTCTTGGGCCATTTTTTCTTTAATTTCACCTTGCAAAATGCATTGGAGTAGTTCTTCACCCTTCAAAATAGCATTGAGTCCTTCACCAAATCCACGGATGTATTCATTCCCCGTAGTACTTCTTCGTTGGTGACTTTGTCTGTTCATGGTATCTTCAGGATCATTCTGTATAACCAGAGCTCAAAAGCCTAAGTTGTTATAGAGCATCCTCCTTTAATGTGTACGTTTCTACTCTGTACAGAAGCACTGAGTATACGTAACATTTAAGGAGCCTTATTTTTGTTTGTGAGGTCATGGCTCTTGAACACAGAGCTCATAGTAAAGAATGCACTTTCACGATTCATTGATTAGTTCCCAAGTGAGACACGTTCAATTTTCATTTGGTTCAAATACAGATTTGCTCCAGTTATGTTTTCCTTGCTGATGATCATTAGCTTGGTTTTGCTGGTGTTTGTATTCAGTCCATATGTTCTACTTGTTTTCGTTATTTTATTCATTAAGTTTTGCAGCCCTTCTATGGTATTGGAAAACACTATTGTATCATCTGCATACCACAGGTTATTGAGCTTGACTCCATTTATTAATATGCCTTCATCAATATTTTTTAGAGCCTCTTTAAAAATATGCTCCGAGTTCAGATTGAATATCAGTGGTGAAATTATGTACCCCTATCTTACTCCCCTTAAAATTTTGACCTGATCTGTATGGTCTCCATCTATTCAGAGTACCACTGATTGATTCTAATACAGGTTAGCTATTATTGTTAGGTCTCTTCCGTTAATCCCTGTCCTCTTCAGCACTTCCATTATTTGTTTATGCCTGACTCTATCGAAAGCCTTCTTGTAGTCAATCAGGCATGCAAAAACATCACAGCTGACATCTCTACGCGTTTGCGTCTGCGCAAACTTTTGCTCTTGGTTTTTTGGGCAATTGTACGAACTCCGATTTGAGCCACTCTACTGGTATTTTTCCTGCCTTGTATATTTCATTCAATATTTCAGTTATTATTTTTATTTGTTCTTCATCTAATAGCCTCAACAGTTCTGCATGAATTTCATCAAGTCCCGGTGCCTTTCCATACTTTATTTGTCTGATAGCTGCCGTTATTCCTTCTGGTAGGATTTCGGGACCTGAATTTTCTTCAATGATGGGTTCTTGTATGGTTCTAAGGTGGTAGAAAAGTTTCTCCATACTTTCCCATACTTTCATTTTATCTTCTTTGGTTATGGCAAGATTGCCTTTGTCTTTCGATGAACATTGAAATTATCATATCGACTCTAATACTTAACAAGTAAATAACTTTCTACTGAAACAAGTAAATAAGAAGAAATGCAGCTGTCACAGGTATCATACAGCGCACAGCAGGGCTGAAGTGGAACTAGGCGGGTCATGTGGCTAGAATGAATGACGGGCGGTGGACCCAAAAAATTAAAGTATGGAGATCACGAGCTGACAGAAGAAGCAGATGTAGACCAGCTGCACGATGGATAGTCGACGTCAAAATAATAGTTGGAAATTAGCTACAGGAAACTTAAGACCAACAGAACTGGAAGAAATTATGTGAGTTCTAGGTTCAACTTTAAAGGCGGAAGGCTGAATGATGGTGATGATATTTATTTATAAATAAATCCACTTTTATAAACTTCCATAAGCTTTGTAGTAGACGATAGGCATTTAATAAATATATCTATCTGGATATATTGATTAAATAGCCGCCAAGTAGTCTACTTTCCTTTAAGTTTATCTAACTCATAGATGCTTTCAGTGTCCTTGATGTAGTTTCTAACGCTATTATAAAAAATCTAACGTGTGCTACATTCGAAACAAAACTGATAATTATGACAATTTTTGAGATAAAGCATTTCAAAAGCTTAGATAAAAACGACTTTTTCGATATTTAACAGGAATCGAGATCGTGGTTTTTATCAAAACGCGTTGTTTATGTTCATGTTTAAAACATTTTTCAAATTGTTCAAAAACAATTCGAGTCTCGATCACGCCAAAACAACACCGTTGGTGACACGTCGTATTTCCCGGTCTAAAATTAAACCGGTGAAAAGCGACAAGTTAAGTCGGGAGAAAATACGCAGTCAATCGAGTACCAGACATCTATCAAGAGATTATTTATCTTAACGATCATCAGCAATTATTATATAAAACCTTTTTTGTGCTAAATTTTTTTAATCTTTTGTTTAGCCGGTTGTGATGACATACAAGTGGACGAGCGCCTGCAGCTACCATTATCAAAAAGTGTGTTTTAACAAAAGTCAAAACTGTAAAATAAGAACCTTCAAGTGCAATTGACGAACTGTGTTTGAAAAGTGATCTTTTTGGTAAAAATGGCTACAAGAAATATGATTCGTGTCGTGAGGCGCTTCAGTAGACTCAACATCCTACCTAGGTAAGTCCTGGAGGTACCTACCGTCTTTATAGCATGTAAGAAAAACGTCGTTCAGTTATAGAGACATTGCGGTGTATAAAATCTGTTAAATTATTATTACTTTTCCGGTTTTTTATGAACTACATCTCATCAAAAATAAAAAAGTCCAGAATATATCAAGCCTTGGAAATATGAAATAAATAAAAATGGATATCAATTGAGACGTTCTTGGCAAAACTCCTCTTGCTGTTAATTACAACAAGCGTTGTCCGCTTGCAATTTCTTTAATAATAGTTTTTAAGTTTATCACATTTTGTCGTAGATATTTTTTCCAGACTTGATTTTCTGGGAGATCTTCGCCAGAAGTCTATTTCTAAGGACAATAAGTGACGTCCTAGAGATTTGTTTAGCTGTTGTGCTCCGCAACCATAGAGTACGATAGTTTTTTTTCCTCTTACTATCTTCCAATGCAAGCCAACAAGTATTGTATTTTTAACCAATTCATGTATACACCCAATTCTTCATATTTTTTAATTAACCTTTTAGTCCTAAATTCTAGGTCATATTTGTTCTCCGTTATAACCACTTGATTACCAGCGAAATTAGGGGTGTACAACGTCTTCTCATCCAATTGTACGCCCATTCCAAAGTAAGATTTGGTCCATCTTCTCAGGGATTCGTTAGATATATTTTAAATAGGAACATAGGTCACAACATTTGTATCTCAATCCTTTAGGTACAAGGAAATTTTTAGATAGGGTATTTCATTCATACTTTAATTTTTTATGTAGCCAACCTTTGGAAAGTTGCTCTACTGCTGCAATAATTGTGTTATTTGTTAAAGAAGTTTCCAGAACTTACACCAATAGTTTTTTTACTGGTACTGTATCGTATGCTCTTGTTAGATCAACAAGTAAGAGATAGATCATTTGGTTCCTTCATACTTCTTTTCAGTCAGTTGAGTTATAGTAAAAATATTATCGAGACATGACCATCCAGCTCGGAATCCTGCTTGTTGTTTTATTTCAAACGGTTCATACTCTTCTTCGGACACATTTTTCAAGATTTTTAGATAGCAGACTAAAGGTACTGATCACTTTGATGCATCTGTATCTTCCACCTCAGTATTTTTCGTGGATGGGCGTAATCCATGATTCTTTCGAACTTCTTAGGATTTATTTTCCAATTATATATCTCGTAAATAATTCTTTTAGACAGGACGTCCATTTTTTAATAGTTCTGCCGCTATACATTCAGGTCCTGATGCCTCATTGTTTTTCAAAGACTTTAGTGCTTTTTCTATCAAGTCTACTTTCACATTAATATATTCCTCTTGAACGTTAACACATTCTTTTTATTTCTTTTTTTCCTCTTTATAAGCAATTCTGTTTGTTCATTGGCGGATTAATACCTCTATGAAACGTTGTTACTCCCTATTTTGCGCGATCGTCCGATAGTTCTTTTGTAGATTGGTGACTTAGTGATCTTTTGATATTTTGACGATATGGGTCTCCACCATTCTGCTTATGTGGGGTTATTCCATTCTTTTCTATATTTTGGGTCCATTCATTTATACACTGTACATTACATTTTCTTTAATGTCTTCAGTTCTCATTTGATCTCTTAGCGTATTTCCTGTAATTTTTCTCAGTTTTCTCATCTCTGCCGTTTCCTGCAGTCTTTACGTTGTGGCTGTGTCAGGTCTTGTGTCTGAGGCATGTCATTATTGGTCTTACACTGGCTTTATAAATTCTTCAACTTTATTTCATGTTTCGCCATATTAACGTACATACATATAGAGGATAATGTAGAATACTCTTCTCTTTATTCTAGGAGTTGCTTTAAGTAATGCAGTCTCCAATTCGTGTTTATCGAAATAGGCTATATCCATGGCTTAATTTGCAAAAAAGTCAACTCCATTTACTCAAATTTTTCAGTATGAACCTAAAACTGCTGAGATCATTAATAATTATACCTATCGTTGATTGTTGCATCTTGATCAATTCTTTTAATGCTTGAAATTAATAATAATTGATCCAAAAATCTTTATTTGACCTAAACCTTTTTTACGCCATAAAAGGAGTTAGCTTTTTTACATATGCAGGAAGAAACAAAAAAGGAGTTAGCCTGTTTTTGAAAATCTTAGAGTCTCTGAACATTTGAAAAGACCAAATTCTTCAAGTTTTGGTCAACACTTAGTATCCAGCAACCACAATTTTAACATCAATTCTGGTTCATCTATCTTACATGACATTAGCAGAAAGAAAAACTATCTTGAGTTGGATTTATTGGAAGATTTGGAGATTACAAGGGAAACAAATGAAAACTCTCACTGTCTTAATACTCAAATTAATTTAAATTGTACTAAATTTAATCCTATATTTAAAAACTTTATTACAGCTTCACCTCGTAGAGGACCCAGCTCGACTGTTTAGACTTCATGCACTGAATATTTCAATATCAATTTTAAAGTTCTTCCATTGACTGTGGATTCAACTGAACTACGTGGACTATAACACATTTATATATTTTGTCTTCAATTTTGATTTTAACTTTTAGTAATTTAACTGCATATTCAGATTTTTCTTTTTTTTTACAGTACTGATAGCGCTTGGTGGACCATTTTATTGTAGTCAACCATCCACTGTCTAATATATTGTTAGTCTTTTCTCACATTCATACTTTATGTCAACTTCAATTGCTCTCAAACCAACATCCTAATTATTATAGACAGGTTTGAGTGTGAGATTGGGATTATTCAATCTACATAAAAAATATACTATATAATTTTATATTTCATCAGTCGATTTCCTATAGTGGTGTCAGTTGGACCTTTGGTCAATACTTAGTGTCATAAAATTTTGAAAGGTGCAGATCACATAACTGCCCTTCATAAGCTGTTATTTGTCACATGCCATCTCTACATTTCCGTCAGACCGGGAGCCCATTCTGTCTCCGGCTTTTATACAATATGTAGCTTCTCCATATAAATTTTAAAGTGTTTGTTTGTCTTAGTGTATTGTATTTTGTATTGTTATGTCCAAATTTTACATTTATGACATTCTACTATGTCGGATAGGCCACAATTGACGAAGTAAGTCTATAAACGTTTATCACATATAAAAATTTTTTTTCAACCATAAACTTCGAGTTTTTTATCGAAGTGAATTAATTTACCTTTTTATAAAAAAAACGTTTCTTGGCTTATTTCAGATGCCCCTGAAGATGATCTATTGATCGAAAGTACTTGGGCAAGATTAAATTAATCACCGTGTTCGATAGTTGCCTTGTATACCCTCAAAGTTTAAATATATGGTTTCCGCATCTAAAGTGTTATTCAATTTTGCCTCCGATACAGGCAATACTTGTTTGTGGAACACCAGTCTGAAACCTAATAATCATAACGCGACTTTTTGATGTCCATTCGGATAAGAGATAATATTTTGACTGGTCCTTACGAGTTTACGACAGTAATGTGACTTCATTTTAGGTATACTATTAAGGTATGTTTTTAAGAAATCCACCTAATTTTTAAATCGATTATTTCGAACCTTTTTTTGTGGCTATTTCGGTAGCGGATTGGTTGATTTTTCTTAAAACGTTTTCTTAACAAAGTTTTCTTTGGAGCTCTGTTTCCAGTTCCAAACAGCAGTTTTGCCTATGTACAGCTTATTCAAAAACATGATTTTGCAGACCCAAAATAAGTTATCATCAAATTTCACATCGTATGCGATTTTCTTGATAATGATGTGTTTTTTATATCTCTTGGTCTATTGGTGGGTATCATTTTTACCTAAATAAAGGTCGTCAATGTAAATTTTCTTTTCTCCCTACTTTAATAACCAAAAACCATTAATTGTTTCCTTGCTTCACTTGATATTTTGGTAAGGTAACGTGATAATAACCACATGAGCTCGATTTACTACTTTCTTAACGGTTGGTTGATGCAATGCGCAGTTGGCGCTTTTACCGTAGTAGTTGGAGGTAGCTTGTTTTCGGGCACGTTTTTTGAACGGTTTACTTTAAAAATACACAAATAAAACGCTATTACGAAAAAAGAGGAGTTAGCTTGTTTGCAGATTAATTATCTGTCCGCAGAGATTTTAATACTTTCCATGCTTCTCTTATGCCCAAACCCAAGAATAAAATGGCTGGTTCGACCAAGACTGCAAAAAAAATAACAGATGAGAAGAACGAGGCATTTAAGACCATGTAACCACGGAAACCTAGGACAACAAAAGATAGATACAAAAACTTAAGGAGAGAGGAAAAAAGCATACACCGAAAAAAGAAATGAGACTCGGAAATGACATATTAGAACGGCTCGAAAGTTATATGAATCACAGAGAAACAAGAAAGTTCTATCATCAAATAAATACTATTAGAAAAGAATTCAAACCGAGAATCAACTATTGTAATGATAAGGAAGGTAACTTACTTACCAACAAAGAGGACATCCTGTTACGATGAGTGGGGCACTTTCAATAGTTGCTGGGAGGGTAACCTACTAACAATATATAGCTAAAATACCGAAATGAGGAACTCGTGGAACCTCTCTCGGTAGATGAAGTGAAAATATCTATAGAAAACTTAAGGAACCACAAATCCCCAGGCAACGATGGCATACCAGTAGAGTTATTTAAGCACGGTGGAGAGCATCTCACCAAGGTGATGCGAGAAATTGTTTGTAAGATTTGGTCTGAGGAGCAAATGCCTGAAGAATGGAGCTTAGGCTTAATTTGCCCATTACACAAAAAGGGAAACCAAATATCGAGACGTTTCTAGGAGAATATCAGGCAGGATATTCAGGCGTGAACGTTCAACCATTAACCAGATTTTTACACGTTTAACAAGAGTTTAACATAGATATGTATCATATTTTTGTCGATTTTAAAGCGGCATATGACAGTGTCTTAAGACCAAGTCTTTACAACACTATGAATGAGTTAGGGATTCCAAAAAAAACTCATATATTTGATAAAAGTGACAATGGCGAAGATGCTATCAGCAGTAAAAATTCA